GAAACCAATACACAATCAAAAGTATTATCAGTAAATTCCTCCAGAATCAGAACACAAATCTTTAATTATGATAACAATAGCATCTCAGTTTGCAATATAAAATATTTTAAGTCTACATTCATGTTCATTTTCAGCAAAACAAGAAAGCAAACAGAAAGCTGAATAACAATAAAATTATAAATACCATAAAAAAGTTAAAAGCCACGTAGAATGATAGCAAGGCTAAATGAAGTCTTCCTTCAAAAATCAATTTAAATTAAAAAATTTGCCTTCCTATTTATTATCTCAAAATAGGGTTACTGTTTTCACTAACTAAATTTCCTGTCTTGGCTGCAACAAGCTGACCACTTATGCACAAACACCACAGAGCTCACCGTCTAGAAAGCAGATATCAAGGCACTGCCAGCCATGGCCCTCTAAGAGCTGTTTGTGCCCTCCAGTTTAGTTTTTAGTTAAGTTTTACTATTTTAGTAAGATAAAAATATATGTGTAACAGGTTTGGTTTAGGTTTATTTAATTGTGGCAAAGCACAATAGGGCTATCTGCCTAAGGTGAGGGATGCCTTTGTGGAGGACTTTCTAAGCAAAACTGGCTCGTATACACGTTACACATGGGGGAAACCATGAAAACGCCCATGCAGCCAGCTCGTTCGCGGGATTCGAACCTCGGACCAAACTACCAGTGTTCAGTGACTTTACTGCTGGGCCGCTAATGAGCCTTCTAAGACATAGAACCTGTGTGTGCAGAATCACCTTCGAAATTAAAAGATTTGTATTCAGATCACTCAGTGTTCTTTTATATATACATGTTTATGCACTTGTAAGTTAATTGTTTTTACATTTAACGTGAAAGTAATTATTTCACAATGCCTTCCAAGAAGATTGTTGCCTCAGATAGTGCTGCAAAGAAAAATGAGGCCATGGCTGTCGATATTAAGAAAGAAATCATAGATAAACATAAGCATGGTGTATGAGTGACGGAATTGACGAAGACTTGTGGCCTTTCCACATCGACTATCTACACTATTCTGAAGAAGCAGGAAGAAATTAAGAAACTTGATGTAGTCAAAGGAGTTACCGTTGCTTCCAAGCACCATAAAAAAACTCCTAGAAGATGTTGAGAAGCTGTTGTTGGTGTGGATTAATGAGAAGCAGTTAAAAGGTCAGTGACAGAAAGTTAAACTATGGTTACATTATTTACCAGTCTTATTTATTAGGAAAAATTGACTTGATGTTGAAATGTTGATATTTTTGGAGGTGCGGAACGGATTAACTGAATTTCCATTATTTTCAATGAGGAAGCTTGTTTCTAGATACGAGAAATTCGCTATACCAGTTGAATGCTGGAACGGATTAAACTCGTATCTCGAGGTTCCACTGTAAGCACGTGTATATGCATATATGTGTATGAGTATACACATACATACATAAAGAATATACACATGCACACATGATCACCTACATTTAAAAAGCCATGCATATACACACACATTTCTGAATCTGGTCTTGATAACAGAAGAGTACCTTCATCAATCATAGGATTTACATTAATCAGTTTTATTAGAAATCTTAAATGCAGAGAATTTCATCTTCACTATCCGAAAATTCAGTTTCATTTCCAGCTGAAACTATATCAGGACAATCTCATTTATATTATTCCCAACAACTGAACATTTTTAAAACATTTTCTATTCTATGGAAAACTAATGCTACATTAAACATATATTTTCTAAATGTGAAAATTTTAAGTTAGCTTAGAAACTGTAATCATGCTTAAAAAAGTTTGATTTATGCAGATGTTAGATCAATAAAATTACTTTCCTATAAAAAAGTATTATGGCATTCAACAACATGATTTTACACATCAAGATATATACTGAGTGAAAATTCCTGAAATTTTTTATTTCTTGGTATCTCACTGTGCACGAATTGTATAAATAAGACTACCTCCCTTTTTTAAAAAAATGTTTAGTAAATACTATGAAGAAAATTGGTTACATTATTTACAGTTCATAATTAATAGAAAATAAATCATTTCTTAGCTTATCAGAATTTATTTTTGTCACATTCATAAACAGCACTAATTTAAACAAACATACTATTATGATTTCAATAACTATGAAAAAGAAAATCCAAATCTGCGTCTTTGATGGTCTAGTAAGATTGGACGTCTAGTTTACTACAATTCAGCAGGGCGCTGACTCACCAGACTGAAATATTTTATTTTTATTTAATTTACAAGGGAAAATGCAACAAAAATATAAGTAATTTCCTGTTTCTATATAAGCATTTCTGCATATTTATAATTTTCATTTTTTTAACTATATCAAAATATATGATTTAATAAAATATGATTCAAATAATTTAAGTTATTTTAGATCAAATACTAACTTTTCAATAAAATATTTTCATGCAATTCTAATAATCGACATAACTATCAAGTTTTGACTTCGAAAATTATCTTTAGAGAAACCTGAAGCTGCAGTAAATAGTAATAAATTTATTCAAAACCTGAAAGGAAAGTATTCTTACTTGAATTTATTTTCTTTCTTTAATTATGGGAGATCTTTTAAAATAACAAAATCAAACAAACAAAAAAGAAATGCAATCATTAAAGGATGTAAAGAAAACTTTATGTATTTCAGTAATTACAAGTGCATGAAATTTCAGTATATATATAAAAAAAAAGGATTAAAGATTTGGAACAAAGTACCTGTGTTTCTATCGCATAAAATATCCTTTTTTAATAGCACAATATCTTTAAGTTAAAGATTATATATTAAGGCAAATTTATAAAAGTAAATTCAAAAATAAGAAATTAAATTATTTTTAGGGAAAACACTAAGCAAATAAAAAAATTTGAATTTCATAAATAAATGAAAGTTACATGCTTTATTTTTTGGCATAAGGTAGATAGATATTTCCAGAACAGATTTCTGAACAATTAATTATTTTAATATTGCCTTTTTCTTTCCATTAAAAGCTATGTCCTGCTTAATTACAGTGCTTTAAAATAAATAATAAAACATTTGATTAAAAATAATATAACTATAAAAAAGTGAGACACATACAAACAGGAGTGACACAAACAGTAAGAAACAGACTAGTGCAAAATTTTTTCAATTTATTGATTTGGTATTCTACGTCGTTAACAGTACCAAATGCTGAAAATGAATCATTAGGCACGGGCACAAAAGAACGACACATGCTACAGGAAAATCACATTTCCTACACAGACGCTATTCATAAAATTTTACATAGGTGAAGAAAGTATGAGTATTAAACACTGAAAATATAAAATGTTCACTTACTTTCTTCAAATAATTAGTAGCATCGATGGATTCAGTCACAAACGCCAGTCCGTGAACAGACAGTATCCTTTGCGACTGCACCATTCTTTTCAACCACCATTGCTGACTTCACAAATATCCCACCACAACCGGAAGTAGAAAGTGTCTGCTTTGCCATTGTTCATTGAACAAGAATTGCAACAGCTTTTTTCCCCCTTTATAATTAAACTAATTAAGAAAGCCTCTAAATTAGCATATGAAATAAACTTTTTTTTTTTGCATTATATAAATTTATATTCACAGCACCTCTGTATTAAAGTAATAATTCAATGTCTGTGTATGCGCATGCTCAGTGTATAATCGTAAATCCGCTTAATTTTTATTGCATAAAATTAACCATGTAAATTTTGAGTTCATTTAACCGAACCTTTGTACTTATTCTGTAAATCTCCATATTAAGAATGTCTTTAACTGTTTTGGGAAAAATATAATTATTTATTTATTTTTTCCTCATATAAAATTATTAAAATCGCTGTATCATTTACCCTGTACATTAAACAAAATTAAAAAATTTTAACCTCGTGATTTTTATAACAAAGATTAAAGGAACTGAAATATATGTAAAATACCAGAATTTGGCTTGCAAATTCATAGAGTTATTATTAAATAAAAATGTTTGTATATCTTTGATTATAATTAATGATCCTTTGGTCTACATTAAACTATTGTTCAAGAAGTTAAACATTTTCGAGCATCTTCTGTTCTATTTATTATTTTATTCCTCAACATGAAAGATTTGCTAGTCTTGCTCCAATTTAATTGCCAACATTTGCTAAATAAAATAAGGCAAGTATTGTACCAAACTCAGTAAGTACACAAATTTAACATACAGCTTATTCCGGTCAAGTGGTTAATAGGATTTTCATAAAAGAAATTAAATTGTGTAATTTAATGTAAGTGTTGATAGGAATAAAAAATAACAAATTTGATATAAGAAAATAAGTTATTTTGAAGATCTTTAAATTAAGAAAATATTTTTTTTTTTTTTTTTGCAAAAATGCACATAAAGATTTAGCTCGCATGTTAAAATTCATAGAAAAATTTAGCCTCTGATATGAATGCTAGAATAATAATTTAAATTTATATAAAATATGGTTGTTTTCAAATTTGTAGAAGCTTTTAACCAGAGGCAAATCAATTTTAAACATAAAGATGATTTAAAAACAGAAATAATTTTGATAACACATTAAAATGCTGTTGGAAAAAAATATTTGCATACCCTTTTTTCATGTTCGTGGGAAAAGGAAAACAAAGTAAAATGCCAGAAATACACCAAATATTTTGAATTAATAACCTTAATTTTCAATCTTTTTAGGCTTCGTATAATATCTGTAAAAGTGACGAATGAAATATACCATAAAGGTGGTAGTTTTTTTTTCAGTACATTTGGATTCATATAATTTTCGTAAAAATAACAATAAAGAGTCAACAGTAATTTCAGCCTTTTTATTCGTATAAATTTCGTGAAAGTAATGTGCAAAAAATACCATACCCTTATTTCACCGAAATTATATGTATATTTTTGGAGACGTGCTGCCTGGGAAATGGTTAAATAAGTACTATGCCAGCTCAGAGAACTTTTATAAATAATGTAACATTAACAAAAAAAATTGCTTTTTAATTTTATAATGATTTAGAATACTTATTACAGGGAAATGCCTATTTTTGGCAGGGCTTATACCAGAACCAATGAGTGCTGTTGATGATTTTAAATTAATTTCCCATGGAATTGGTTTTACTAACATTGTTTCTCGACCAACTAAAGGGAGTGCAGATTTAAGTAGGTAAGTCAGTTAGTTCTTACCAATTTAATTTTTAGCATTAAGTATTTAAACTAGTTATGAGTAGAAAATTTAAAAGCTTTGAAAGATAGTGTGATTATGCTATCCTCGTTTTATACAGAAAAGAGATTAGAGAAGGAGCTGAAATATTGCTATCAAAGCTACGAAAATATCAACCTAAAATTGCAGTGTTCAATGGAAAAAGTATGTTCAACTTTTTTCTTTTATCCTCTGAAATTGTGATCTATGTTGTTAAAATGTTATATACTATAATTCTATCTTATGTACGATAACCAGTGTTAATGTATTTTTAATTAACATTGGTTAGCATTATCAACATAAAAAATTATCCCAGTATTTTAATTTTTAAATCATAAAATTTCTTAAAATTTATTGTTTATAGTTTTCTGCCATTAGCTAATTTATGATAAAGCAGTGAATTTTATAAAATAACTATTTTCAGTGATATATGAAGTTTTCTCAGGAAAGAAAAACTTTGATTTTGGACGTCAGCCTGATCCTATTCAAGGGACTGGAATTGTGAGTTTTAATTGTGATTTTCCATTTTTGTACATAATTGTATTAAACATTTCTGTAATTGCGTATATGTGTGGAATATTAAAATTGCATATGATTCAGATCGTTAAATATTTCAAAGCAGAGTAGAACTCCTATTATCCAGATTCCAAGTGTCCATAAGAATGGTTGTTCCTTTTTCTTGGCAGCGTAATGTTAAGCTTGTATATATTTTGTATGGCATTAATTTTGTCATTTATTTAAATAACAAAAGGATAAATACAATTTAGTTTATATATATATATATATATATATATATATATACACTCTTAGACCCCCCCCCAAAAAAAAACGATGCACTAGGAAGGAGTTATCCGAATGGGACGGAAATCGGTAGAAGTGATGTACATGTACAGAAAAAGAAAAATATTACAGTTTGAGAAAAATTGGATGATTTATTGAAGTGATAGAGCTTTACAAAGTGAAAAAGTCAGTAACGCGTTTGTCCAACTCTGGCCCTTATCCAAGCAGTTATTCGGCTTGGCATCGATTGATAGAGGTTGCGGGTGTCCTGAGGGATATCATGCCAAATTCTGTCCAACTGGCACGTTAGATCGTTAACATCCCGAACTGGTTGGAGGGCCCTGCCCATAATGCTCCAAACATGCTCAATTGGAGAGAAATCCAGCGACCTTGCTGGCCAAGGTAATGTTTGGCAAGCAGTAGAAACATGTGAAGTGTGGGGGCGGGCAATATCTTGCTGAAATGTAAGCCCAGGGTGGCGTGACGTGAAAGGCAAACACGTGAACGCGTGAAGGCTGTAACCACAAGGGGGGCTTAGAACTCGTCGATGTAAGCTGCTGCGACTGTGATGACTGGCAAAGATGGACACTGACATGAGGGGACCTACTATGAAATGAATTGGCACCCCAGACCATCACTCCTGGTTGTCGGCCTGTCTGCCAGAAGAGAGTCAGGTTGGTATCACACTGCTGTCCAAGGCGTCTCCAAACACGCCTTCGCTGGTCATTGAGGCTCAGTTCAAAGCGGGACTCATCACTGAATACTATTCTACTTCAGTCAGTGACATTCCAGTGCGAATGGGCTTGACGTTGTACAGAGGTCAATGGTAGTCGGTGCAAGGGGAGCCCTGACCTCAGCCCCCTTTCTGTGAGCTGTCTATGAATGGTCCTTGATGTCACTGAAGCACTAGTTGCTTGTACAACGATGATAATGATGCATCTGGGGCTGTGAGTGCCGCTCTGACGATTGCTCGGTCTTCCCATTCTGTTGTTTCTCTAGGCCTACCGCTTCCTTCTTGCGGACGCTATATGCGGCCATGGTTCACCCATTCCTGACAACATTGTCTAATAGTGGCATCGCTCCTGTTCAAATGTTGAGCTATTCACCAATAAGACCAACCGGCTTCTTTGAGCCCAACTACACGACCTCTCTCAAATTCTCACGTATGCGCATATCGTTCGCGAACCTGTATGCGAGGCATAGTTAAAGTCCGCCAGAGTACACAGAATGAAATTCATGAAGAATTTGTGACCTGGAATCATAATTTCTCCACTGAAATATTCTGCCAGTTGCGCAGATCAGCTGCGCTTTTAGTGACGACCGTTCATTAATTGGCAGCCAAAATATAAAATTTTGCATTTTCATTCGAAACGTTTATGCATATCAATTTGTGTCTAATTTGCTTTATATCTTCTCGTTGCATCTTTTTTTTTTTTTTTTTTTTTTTTTTTTTGTCTATGAGTGTATTTATAATAGATATGTTTAGTCAGTTAAATCCACATTTCATGGACCTTCCAGGACGCGGTAAATTTGTTTAAACCAATTTTTTTTTAAATTGGGAACGTAGAATAAAAGGCAAAAATTAAATGCTTACTCCAACATAAAAATCTTATTAAAGTGAATAAATGAAAGTGTTTTATATGTGAAGTTTAACAGTGAAATTTAGAAAAAACTTTTACTTCACTGAATTTCAATACTTGTAGGATTACATAATGTAAAGTAAGATATTTATTATTACTTACATAAGATACTATTTAACACTTTTTAAGAAAGTGCTTTAATATCTTGCATTCTATTTTATACTTTATACATTTATTTATTGTGTAATCTTTGGGCCAGAAAGCACATTTCAAATGTAAATTTTGTGCTTCTTACACACTGTCGACACTGCCTCACTACCTACTTTGTTACTATTACTTTGTGTCCCAAGATTTGATAACATTAGCTTGCTTGGTTATGGGAAAGCTCATTAAAGCTATCTTGCTATGGGTCAGGAATATCTAGGTAGATGATAACTTTCTAAGAGAGACTAAGCTATGTTACGCTTGAAGAAAACTTCATGCAGCCTGTCTGTTCAATTGCCTGAAAGAAATGTTATGGTTTATTACTCCTGTTTCATTTTGCTGTTACAGTCCCTGAGCAACTGCAAAAATGAGTTATTGTCTGTATGCATATAGTCTGGCAATTAATTCTGTGAAATTTCTAAATCGACCCTTCAACACAGTATCAAACTCAGAGCTTTCTGAGATAGCAAATGGATCTCAATTTGTTTTTCATCTTTTAATAAAAATCAATTGTTTTTAACATTGCACACTTGGAGCTGGCATTCAGTGGGCTCTCAATGTATAAAAGTGTTTATGAAAACTGAAGTAAAGTGTGAAAAAATGGATCATTTGTACTATAAATGTCGATAATAAAGGAGAGTAAATAAACTCTCTTCTCTCTTTTTTTTTTTTTTTTTTTTGACTGAAATTCCAAAGGTTGCTGGAGTTATATTTAATTTATATTGTTTTTGGTTTTTTGCTTTTCTTTTTGCATATCTATATTTTCTTTATAACTCATGTCCTAGTTTTGTTTATATTTACATAGTTTTATTATTTGGTCCATTTGTTGTAGATGGGGAAATATTGTTAAACAAAATGTGTTAAATTTCTGTTCACAAGTTTTATTTATTTTTATTTACTGCAGCTTAATGCAAGGTATGTAAAAGAACTGTTTTTGTTTATTTGTATTCCATTATATATTTATCTACATCCTGTTCTGCAGAAGTCCTTTATTTTTGGAACTGTTATTCATAGACATGCTCCTGTTACCAAAATTTTTCAATGATGCAAATATTTTTAGCTTGACATTTTAAAATTTTGTAAAATCAGTTTTAGTCCTAGAGTGTTTTGCTATAATCAGATATACCAAATGAAACCTATAAAATTATGAAATCGAACATTTTATATATTCCTCTGACTCCCTATAGTTAGGAAAATTTTCTACCCATTAGAAAAAATAAAATACAAAAAATGTGACTGTTATGGAAAAAAATCTGATGTGGACACCACATGACTTCCTTGAACGGTCTCCTAAATTATGCACATTTTTGCAGCATTTCGTTTAATCTTATTTCCTCGAATTTCATTAGGGATATATTATATTTCTCATTCAGTTAATTCAGTTCTCATTTCACAAGGAAAAAATACATGGAACTCAAAACATCTTCATTAAAAATTGAAAAATATAGAAAAACATAAAACACAAAATACAATTAAAACAGTTTTAAAAAATTACAATTAAAATTAGAGCTTCTATGAAAAAAAAAACAAGCAATTTGGCCAGCAGGCAAGAAGGCAGAGTTTTTGGTACACAAAAGTGAAAGTTTACTTTTGGTTCCACTCAGCAAATGACACTGAGGATGCAGAAACTGAATTCACTATTCTTCTAAGTTTCGAGTGTAAACAAATAGCTGTTCCGTTGGGCTTAGACATGCATAAACAACTTTTAAATTGTTTATAATTCTACAACTGTTGTATGCAGATTAACTAAGGGTATAAAAACCTTAACCAGAACGTAAGAATAACAATTCTATCACTTTTAAAGCAAAGAATGCACACTTTACTTGTTACATATATGTGGCAACACACTAGTTGCTGGTCAAACTGAAGTGAAGTAATAGTCGGTGAATGTTAGTGTGGAATAAACAATGTGCTATGTTGTGTAATAAACAATGTGCTATGTGAACGTGTTGCAATGACTTAATTATAGATCAATAAAAAATAATACGATTAAAACATGCCGTAGTCGTGTGGAATAATATTACAACTAATTGCCAGGCAATCAATCCCCTTGGTTGTTTTTCCTCTCAGCAGACGCAAGATGGAATTTTGTCGCCCACCGCAAGGCCTAAGTTTCGACGGCAATGTGGCTGAAAACTGGCGCATATTCAAGCAGCTGTTCCAGATTTATAGGAAAGCTTCAGGAAATGCTTCAAAAGATTCAGATGTGAAAGTTGCTTTATTTTTAAATGCCGCTGGTGAGGAAGCAGTTGAAGTGTTCAACACGTTCAATCTTTCAACAGGAGATCAGGGTAACTATGAAAAAGTGCTTGAGAGGTTTGAAGCTTTCACGACACCTAGAACAAATGTTGTGGTGGAGAGATTTTTATTCAATAAGAGAAAACAAGAAGAAGGGGAACTTTTTGATTGTTTCGTAACTGACCTGAAAAAACTTGTAAAATCTTGCGAATTTGGTGAGCAGAGTGACTCTGTCATACGTGATCGCATTGTCCTTGGAGTATCAGATGCCAGTTTACAGGAGAGGATGCTGCGAGAAAATAATCTGAGTTTGGAAAAAGCAATTGAATTAGGGAAAGCAGCTGAATTGAGCAAAGCTCGTGCTCAAACGTTAAGAGAACACAATGTTGACAGCGTAACTAGAGAAAAAAGTGAAGCAACATCGGACAGGAGGAGCCAATGCAGCCTTAGCAGTGAGGAAGCACAGAGGATGGAGTGATGACACTTCAAATACTGAGACATCTTTATGTAAAAAATGCAACAGACATCACGTTAATGGACAGTGTCCGGCATATGGAAAAAAATGCTTTAATTGTGGCAAACTAAATCACTTTTCGACTATGTGCAGACTGAAGCACATCCAAAATGTTTCTCAGCATGATAACGCAGATGTATATAGGGAATCTGATAATGAATTCTTCGTGAATTCCATAAATGTTC